GGGTTTGCCTGGGATCCAGCTTCAGATCAAATTATATTTAATTTTTTTCAAATACTGTCCAATCATCAATCCACCAAGTGGATTGCATTGTCAACAATAGCCAAATTCTATGCTCCACTTAGTCTAATAAGCCCAATTGTCACAAAGTCTAAGATATTTCTGCAATCTCTATGGAGTGCTAACGGGGATTGGGATGTCGCATTGCCAGAGCCAATTCTTTCTTCATGGGGGGAGTTACACAGTTATCGGTCGTACAGAACTAAAAATTTCCACGATTTGTAATGCAGCCTGGAGCTTTCGTTGAGTTGCGTAGATTCTGCGATGTTAGCATGTCTGCTTATGGGGCTGCTTATACTTGCGATCGAAGAGTAAGCGAGAATCGAAAGTCCATCTACTCTGTGCCAAGTCAAGAGTAGCTCCACTAAAGGTCTTAACAATTCCAATATTAGAAGTTTCCGCAGCGCAGAGAAATGTTTACATGCAGGACCACAGGCGTTGCTTGCCACATTACGACAAAGGTTCTGCCTGATTGCAGGCCGCAAATTCGTTGCTAGTGTCATCAATAAATGCTTCCGTTGTTTTCGAATGAACGTAATGGGAAACTTGCCAGCAAATCGAGGGCAGCCTAATCCAGCATTTCATACTACAGGAGTGGACTATTGTGGGCCATTCTATCATAAGGCAGAGCCCAGAAACAAGGCACTGCATAAGTTATATATCCGTCTTCGTTTGCTTTTCGACAAAGGCAGCTCATTTGGAAGTTGTTCAGGATCTCACGACGGATGCTTTCATCGCAGCGCTGAGAAGATTCATCAGCCTCCGAGGCAGTCCGCGATCTAAGAACTCTTGCGTATGAGATTTCTGCCATTTCCTAACTCCCATCCACTTTGTCCAATTTCAGAAAATGCTAAAAGTCTTGACATCAGCCTGAGCCTGACATCACTTATTGTTGCGAAGGCCGCTTCAGCAGTTGGCAGCGGGTGACCCAGATGCAACAACACTTCTGGGAGGGATAGAGCTGCGAGTATTTGTCCCTACCGCGTCTAACACAAGGTTGGAATCATGCAGCGTCATCAGCTATAGTCCGGTCTAATCAAGAGAGCCGTCGCCAAATAGATTGCGATGTTGCTGGAACCGTACCTCTTCTGAAGGGGGGAGTATGTTCGGATCAGATCGCTTTTGTAGCTCTATTGGTTATTTCGTAATAATCTGGCGAAACCTGCTGTACGCTGTTATTATTTAATTTGTAAGGATTCCTTAATTTACCTTTCTGAGGAACTCTTTACGATATCTCGGTTCGATATCGGGATCTTCCCTGTCTTTATTGAGTTTTTCTATCTTATTTCTTTTTGCGTCTAGTATATTTAAGGTGGGCTGTCCTGCATATAAAAATATGTGAGCGGGAGTTTGTCCCGTGATTTTATGTTTTGTTTTGTGATTGTCTATCTCAGGATTCTACATAGTATTAATTATTCTTTCTTGTTTTATGAAGACCCCTTTTTTTGAATTATTTAGCTTTAGTTCTACTCCTTCTGTTTCTAACCATTCTGCGCAATCCCAATCTGCTTTTAATAGCTTCGGTTATCTTAACTGATTAAATATGCGCGTCGAGGCGTTTTTGCATTCTAGCCAATCCTTAGTTTTTATCTGCTCTAATGTAGCGAATTTTGAATAAATGCAGTTCAAGTAGTGTTTGCCGTCAGCCGAATAAATGTCTATTACGAATTTATCTCTGCAGAATTCTATACTATTCTATACTACCAAAGTAGTTCTAGTTTAATAATTTCTTAGTTTTTTGATCCCTGGATGCAATAGCTCTGCATGGGACTGAAGGATTAACTACTTGATTTCTGCATATGACTTTTTAAATAGTTTAGTACCTGTGTGGTACTTGGGTTGATAATTTCTCTATAAGCTTCCTGTATTGTTTCGAAATCAGAGTCGCTGTCTATGTATAAAAGAGTGTGTTTATTTACGAAAACTCTATCAAATTTTATGAGTTAGCATTTCATAAGAAATGCGGATTATCTGTTTTTTATAATAATTCTCCCGTTTTCAACATTTCTGGTCCCTTAGTAAAAATTACTTGTCTGTTGTAATTATTTACTGGCTTTTCATTAGTTTCTTGTTATCTTCTTGAGCGCTGTGCTTCCCCTATATTAATCCTGGATATACATATCTGCTACATTCTTTTTTTCTCCTATGACGTATTTAATATCAAAATCGTATTCAACTAGTCTGAACTTCCACCTCGTTAATTTTGCGTAGGGCTCCATCATCTTGTGCAACCAGCAATCTGTGCGAAATGTGGTATGAACTTTCTATAAAAGCCTGTGGGTCCTAAAAAATATTTTATCTCCTTAGGCTTAGTTGGAAGGCGGTAATTTTCTGTTGCTCGTAGTTTTTCCGGATTAGGTCTTATGCCTTCTGGAGAAACTATGTGTCCTAAGAAATACGTGTCGTGTTTTAAGAACACACATTTATCTAAATGGAGTTTTAGATTAGCATTAAATAATGCTTGAAAGACTACTTTAAGGGATTAAAGATGTTCCTCTAAGAAGGCTGAAACAATAATGTCATCTAAGTAAAGCAAACAGATAGCAATGCTGTATAGCTACAGAGTAAACTCGTAGTGCCCTGTCTTAGTTGTGAATTGTGTCTTAGAGATAGACTCGGTGTCCATTTCTATTTGGTGAAACGCTTTAATTAAATAATTTGTAGAAAAATAATTACATCCTCGCAACTTGCTTATCCACATTCGGTATTGGATATTTGTCTGCTATTGTTATCTCATTCAGGTTACGGTAATCTATGTCTATTCTACGAGTATATTTCTTCAGTCCGGAGGCGCCTGCTTTCTTGGGTATTACTACAATGGGGCTGCAATGGGAGGCCAGTAAAGCATGTAATGATCGGGATGATATTGGAGATAATACCCGTAAGGAGGGGGATAGAACTGTTGATAGGCTTGGCCTAATTCTTCTTGGTGATGAGTTGTGTCTTCTGTGCTGAGTTAACGGCAGAATTATTTCCTCTTGACGGAAAGTTGTCCGAAGTTATTCTGGTCGAATACAAATTATTAAATTAAATTAATTATGTAATTCCTATTGTCCAGGGATCTTCTTAGTGGATGGCCTCGGCAGATGATTAGTCCCGTGTTCCTGTAGTTATATAGGAGGGAGTCTTCTTACGTAGACTACGGTGGAGGGCGTGACTTTGTCCCCTTTGCTGGGCACTGGTTTTCTAGATCAGTGTGAATAATTTATATCAAATGTTTTTACGGCAAGTTGCCGGAGTTGCTTGTTCTTTATTTCTAAAGGGCTCGCTTAGGACTGAATACAGAGGAATGGAAAATTACGAATAAACCCTAGCGTCAATGCATCACGCTATAGCTTTGTGGTCGGCAGGCCAACTCAGCATTTCTGCAGCGCAATGCGGTACCCCGGATACGGAGTGCCATATTCCGCTGCTGGTCGTTCTTGGCGCAGAGCGCTGAACTTTATTAACTTTATTTAGGCGCGTCAGCATTCTATATGGATCTACTTAGTTGCTAGGGTATTGGTTGTTAACTTACATATTGTCTGTTAAACGGTCTAAGTTGGTATAACCCAGATCCGTCAGGTTGTGAGTGAGGTTGACGGTGTTGGTATTAGGGAAACAGATTAGGGTTAGTTATGGGCAATTGAGGTGGTATATATGAATGTGGTTTTTCAATTGGTTAATACATAGCGTTGTATGATGATTGGAATGGTGTTGTACGATTATAGTAGTTATTCCTTTGTCTGTGAGTTGCATTGTAACTTTATATTTATTAGCAATCTTAAACTCAGAATTTCGCATTTATTTATTATTAAATGTAGATTTGGCAATCTTAAAATTAAGGTTCCTATTAGTTCGTTATACAAAGTGGATTCTGCGATATTATTTTCTAACTCTAGCTTCCGTCTTCGTTCGGCCTCTTCCGAAAATTCTCGAACGTTACCTGGGAATTGGGTATTCCGGAAATCCTCCAATAAGTCCTCCTTCTCCGTTCGACTTGAACCATGTTCGAGTCGTACAGCATTATTTGCACAGGTGATGCTACTGCCATTTTATTTGATTACAAAATTGTTATTTTTTGGTTGTTGCTGATGTTTCGTAAGTAGAGAATATTTGTATTATTTTTTTTTTGTTGTTGTTGTATAGTTCTAGTTTATTTTGAATTTATTCAAAAATAAAAAAAAAATTCCACTTTATATCCAGATGCAGTTTTTATTTTTACTTCAGTTTTTAATTTCACTTTTTTTATAAAAGGTTATACCTTTTGGTCACTTTATATTCTTAGTTTATAATGAGTTAAAGGAAGTTTTTTTTATAATTTTATGAATCTGATCAACAATACAAATACTTAATATGGTCGGAAACGCTTTCTTCTGGCTGTTCCCTACTTTTCAACGAATCTATTGCCATTTTACTCTTCTAGAAACGGAAATAAAAATTGAGAATTTAGTTTTAAATAAGCATTCAAACTATTTGAAAAGAGTAGGAAAGCTCGCATGATTAGCTCCCTGATTAAGTAATTCTGCGCTTATATGCACACGGTACGTGTGAGATTTTTATTTCCATCGCCAATAGAAATGCCATCAAACTTATATTGGAGTGGGAACAAACAATATATGTAACCCAAAGACCAAGACATTAAAAAAGAACAACAAATTACATGCCAAGAGTTTGAATATTGGTCCCTCCTCAAATTTTCTGCGGCTTAGGCTACCTGGACAAAGATTTTAAGCAACATAACAAATGGTGGGCTTAAAGTTACTCTGCCCGGATGATCAAGCGGCACTGCAGAAAAAAAAAGTACCATATTGTACCTTTGTACTATTCTATGATAATAATAGTAAGGACGACAAAATGTAATGTACTTTGAGGTAAATTGTCCTCCTTTGATGCAAAATCCGCCGTGTTGGAACAGGAGTTTTTATTTAAAAATACATAGGCTAAACATGTGTTCAATTCCATTGTTCCAATATTGTCTTTTACAGACCCGCAATACTTTAATCAATATTATGTATAGCAAATGCTCATCTCAAGCTAACTTTTTAAAAGAAGAAAATGAACACTTTAAAAAATATTGATAATAAAGAAATAATAATCAAGGTAAGAAGCCCATAACATAATGTATTTGCTATAATTGAAAGAAAGTTTAAAAGATTCTTCATTTGGCTATAGATTACATGATTGGAAATTTTAATGACGAACAAACTCTTCGTTCGTCACACAAATATGGATTTCAAAATGCAGATGAATTTCTGTTCGCTATACGAATCATGTCAAAGTTTTACAAGGATGTTTTATTAAAATGTGAAAAAATAACGCAATTTTCGTACATTAGCTCTGAAATGAGCAGGCTTGCAAATCTTGTGCTATCAGCACGTTATTCTGAATTAAAAAGGCATCTCGAGCATTGGGAGTACTTGCAAAATACGAATGTCATAGAATCCTTTGGATGGGACACAAGGTTAATATTAGGAGACAGCTACTTTGGAAAAAATATACAACCATTAACAACATTGGATTTGCGATATCGTCACATAAATAATCAAAAAGAACTGTTTTGCGAAATGAATAATGTAATACTAAACGACTTTATTTATTTACTTGAAAATGTATTAGCCAGATAGCAATCCATATATTGAATGCATATTATTGTTGTTTAAAATTCATTTTTGCTAAAAGTTGTATCTGATTTCTTTCTGATGATTTTTGTTAATTTCTGGCGTCGATGTAAACATTTTACAATAACATTAAAATTTTCAATTAAAAAATAAACTTTTCTTTATATAGTTTTCTTCAGAAAGAAATAACGTTAATTTAACAATTATTACTACTGCATTAGTACCCATCGCTGCTTTTGCCACTACTTTCAAAACCGTTGATGAGGGTAACCTTAACTGCTATTGTTATGCAGCTGCATTTATCAGTTGAATTAACCTGGATGAAAAGATTAAAGCTCTCTGATCTTAGCTCGTTGCACATTGCTCTGCCCATGTGAACTTGGTGATAGAGCTGACAACAATAACAATTTCATTTTAAAATCGATGCTTTTGGATGAGAGTAAAATGGATTGCTTTGTTGCAGTTGGTAGCACGATGTAACGGTGGTTTTCGAGGCGCCCCCAATGGGAAACCTGCTGAGCGATTTGGCCGTTTGAGTTAATCCCGGTTCGCTCAGGGATCGTAGCCACCACTAATGAGCTTGACAGTTGCAACTAAGGCTACTAAAATTATTATTATTAATATTAATTATTATTAATTTGTGCTGTGGAGTAATCGCACCAAGTTTAGTTACTTTTTTTTAGTCTGCCAGTCCATTTATATCTTTTAAAATAACAATTTCCAATGTACGCGGACTAATAATATCGTTGGTATTCCTAGATAGATGTAATCCACATCACGTAATCCACATTACGTAAAAATCACGTAACATAATATGGTCAAAACTATAGCTTTTTTCTAGCTGTGAGCAAACTCCTGTGTGTGTTCTTCCTTTAAATAAAGATGCAAGCGGTTAGCATTACCTTGAAGATAAGGAATGTCGTGCAGTGGAAAATTCCCGTACTTAAGATCTTTTCCCATGTCTGCGGAACATAAAGCCACTGCGTTGGTCTATGAATTCTGCCAAAACACTTCCGCATTTGGATTCTGTTCCAGATGTTCCATATCTTTCAGATATCTACATATGTATGTAAATCTAACGCTCAAGCGTTGTTTACTTTTAGATATAGCCAGACAAATGTTTGACAATACATTGCAGCAGCAAGGCTACATTTTCAATAGTAATTGTCTAAATTTAACGTATTTTGACTTTTCGCTTCTAATACATATCTTGAAGTACATTTTTCTTTTAAAATATAACGATATAGGCGACTGTACATATTCTTTCTTTTTTATAAAATTGTATTCTTTATTTTTTTTGTATCTTAACTGTTAAAATGTATACTACTGACAACAGACCTGGTCAGTGCTTGCATTCTTTGTCTAACAGCATATTTCTGTATGAAATATGTATATGTCGGTGAATGCAATATTCTTATTCAGAGGAAATACTTCTGTATTTCTTAGTATTTTCATCATTTGATTTGCTTGTGGGTCTGTTCCTTCGTTTTTCGAGGAACCATTGGAGCAAGGCGACAGTAGCGCGCTGCAAGGATGGCCACAAATGCGGCGCGACATTGTCGTCGAGTGCGGTTCGAGGAATCTTATAAAAAGAGGCAGTTAGGGGACGATCAGTTAGTCTTCGTTGATCGTCGCTGCAATACAGATCGAAACGCGCTTTGCCCAAATGGAACAGAATTCAACATCAGAAGTGGGATCTGGCCCTCTATCTTCATCAGCAGATGGACAATGACGTACCATATTAAAACTACAAAATAAAAACTTAATCGAACTAGTGCAGGCCATACAAAAATGACTCCTGACTCAGTGCAAAGTAAACCGGTTCAACTTCCCAAATATAACCCAGACAAGACCGGCGCCATCGCCTCTTTGTGGTGTACTACCGTCGAAATTATTTTGAAAGAATATCCATTAAAAGGCACTTCGTTGGTAGTGACCTTAAGTTCGGCATTAGAGGGTAGCGCTTCGCAATGGCTATCCCAAGTGTGTTACGCTGATATAACCTGACTTGAATTTAAGAAGTTATTTATACAACTTTTTGATACAATGGAAACACTATGTTTTTAAATATGCTGACAAAACGACCGACTGATGGCGAATGTCTCACAATCCATGCAAGCCGTATGATCACAGTACTTACAACGAAGTGGCGCGAAATGGAAACGGAGGAAATTGCTGTATCCGTGACTCTTGCATTGCCGATAAGCTTTGATAGCCGACTGCAGCGTTTAACTTTCACATGGAATATTCAATCCAGAAGCGATCTGGAGTCCGAATTAAGGTCTTCACTTTTAATAAAAGGAAAGCTGAGGCTCATCCTAAACGACAAAAGCAATTGTCGATGGAGTGTCATTTTTGCGGAAAATTTTGACATAAAATGTTTGAATGCAGACTCCGGAAACAACAACAACACCTTGCGAATGCAATGAACAACATGGCCGATACGACGAACATCAACGTGGAAAAGCGAATGTAACTTGATAAAAATGCGGAGACCGCAGAAACAATGTACGCAGAAGGAAGAAGACATAATTGTCATAATTGACATTGCAGTACATAAGCGATATATGAACCATTTTGAAGTCACCTTTGATTCCGCAGCAGAATGTCCACTGATGAAAGAAAACCTAAAGAAGTAACTCCCTCGACGGCATACTTTTTTACTAATTCTACCGTTAAGTTGTCAGCGTAGAAATTATCCAGTTGATTTTGTAATAAAAATTGACGATGTAAGCGGTCGACAATATTTCCACGAGGGAGTCAAACGGGGAAGTATTTTAAATTGCAATAATTATTTGCCAATCCAAAGGGGGCCCATTGATCCACCATTATGCAATATTTCATCCCGTTTCCTTCGAAGAGGTCGATTGTATAATAATTCCACGTTAGGGCATTTTCATAGATATTTTCCTCTTGGTTTTTCTTTAGGCTGTTTCACTAATTCCATATCCTTCATTCCATATCATTATTTGCATTGTCTTCTTCGACATTTACCTTCCAGTTTTCTTCTTGTAAAAGGTATTGAGGATAAACTCTGAAACGTCCTCGTCAATTTCCTCCTGGTCCTCTGGTATGTAATTTTCTTCATGTTTCTCATTATGATCCGGGGCAGCAAATGTAGCTATTCTGGTGAGCAGATTCTTTTCGTTCCCGTAGCTCGAAAGTAAGTCTCGTTTTTCGTCTTCTCCTGAGGATTGGCTTAGTGCGACAATCAGCACAGATTTTATAGTTTCCGCAAAACTGTCCTTTGTCTCACACATTGTTGCTAGACCAATGCATCTTACTCAACCTCCAGTGGAAAATGTCCTGATTTCGATATAAATCTGCTCAGCCAAAACTGTATGCTCGCTGTATCATGTTTAGCATCTGTTTTTTTATACCAAATTGTGATGGAGGGTGACGACAGCATATTTTCAGTTTTTCAGATGCATCTGAAAAACTGAAAATATGCTGTCGTCACCCTCCATCACAATTTGGTATAAAAAAACATAACTTGAGTCGCCGTTTGGTTTTTAAATGGGTAACACAACGCTTCCAGTTGTGAATGTAATGATGAAACTGGATCACGATCCTTGGTGATTCCTAGGTGCCTGTTGATTGCCTCTTTACGAAGTTTTCGAAGAGTCGGTAACTTTGGGATGAAACTTGGTTCTGGGTCGTCATCATTCATATTGTCGGTGGCTTCCTTCCTCCACAATGCAGCTTTTTTTTAAAAACAATTCGTTCCCAATTTCAAGTCGTCTGGATCCAGTGCACCTTCTTATTTTATTATGGGGAATACCTCGTGTGTCCGGTACCGAAACGGATATCGATATGCCGCAATGTTCATCTGGTTTCACAAGGCAATGTCCCTTTAAAATTGAGCTGCACTCATTGCAATAGCTTTCAATTCTAAGCCAGATGTTATATACTTCGTCGGAAAGTATTGCTTTTTGAAGTTAAATGCACACGGAAGGGGAACTTTTTCGTATATTAGCTTGGCTATTATATCCGTCCAGTTACGTTGCAGATAGCTCTTTGACCTCAATTCCGTTTTTTATTCCATTTTAGGAGCAATCGATTTCCACAATTCCTGGTCTAATTCCAGGGTAATATATAAAATAGGCAATGGTCCATTTTTAGAAGCTTCTATGATCTGCAACTCTGGGTCATCATCTGGAGATGTGCTATTTAAAGTATTATTATTGTCAGTGCTATCCAGCTGCTTAATGCCACATCGTTCTTTCACCACCGTTATATTGCCATTCCGATTGATTCTGGCGTAGAAATTTAGCGTCTTCGCGCTGATTGTTCCTTGCAATTTTTTACCAATATCAGTCCAAACATTATCGCTTCTTGGCTTAAGAGTTCCAGTCTCCGTAAAAATATTCCCGCTGCAAAATGCATCCACTAAGGCAGCGACATCGACATGAGGTTTGGTCGGCATCCTTTCAATAAAATTTATTCCTTTTATGCAGTAAAAAAAAAATTGATTAGCACTTTTCACAATTGCACTGCAAATGTAAAAAGGAATACGCGAAAAAAAAAAAAAATTATGTCGGCGTTGCCACCGCCATCGACATAAACAAAAATAAGCTGCCATCAGTTATAAAATGTTTTCATTTTTGCATCTCATAATTTGTACGGAAATCCCTCTCTTTCTCTTTCTTACCCCCAAGAAACGATCAAACACCGAAGGTGCCTTGCATATAATCAACATGTACATATAAATAAAACACACATACACATTTTCGCTATTTTCTGCTATCTGCACTGAAAAAATCAAATTGACTAAAAAATGAAAATACATATTTTTAGTGTTTATAAAAGCTCCAATTTATGTTTAATATGGTTAAGCAAACACATATTTGTTTTTAAATAATACATTTGTTTCTGGGTTGTACGTATGTAAACCAATTTGCTAGCAACGAAAGTATGACTGCTTTTCAGTCGGACGGCAACTTAACGGTTAAGCATGTGAAATTGTTGTTGCTCATCATAAAGAACTAGTGAAGAAGAAGCAGAATACACAATATTATTTTTGTAATATGTACGTATGCATGTATAGTCAATGCGGCAAGTAACACGTGTGCGTATGCATGTGTTCTGTAGGCAGATCCTAAAGCGAGTGAGTTGGCGCCACAACTTACTGAAAGTAAGTTTTAATTGAAAATAATTTTTTTTAAGGATAAAAACAATTTTTTAAGTGCGGGCAAACGATAAAAATCATTTGTAAAGGGCAAACGATTTTGTTTGAAAATATTTAGTTTTAAGGACAAACGAAAATATTTTTTTTTAAAGGGTGGGCAAACGATAAAAATCATTTTTAAAGCGTGGGCAAACGATTTTGATTGAAAATAATTAGTTTTGAGGTATGGAAAATTCTTAATTCTTTAAGGGCTTATATTTTCTAAACTAAAAGTTTTTTTCAAAATTCTAAAGGGTGGACAATCGTGGGCAAACGAAGTTATTGCGATTTAAAAAAAAAAGTTCAAAAAAGTCAACTTTTTGATTTTCGAAAATTTTCGAAATTTCATATCTTCAAAACTGGACGTGGGCAAAAGAAACACACCAGCCGCAATGTTTTTAAATATGCTGACAAAACGACCGACTGATGGCGAATGTCTCGCAATCCATGCAAGCCGTATGATCACAGAGCTTACAATGGCCCGAAATGGAAACGGAAGAAATTGCTGTATCCGTGACTCTTGCATTACCGGTAAGCTTTGATAGCCGACTGCAGCGCTTAACTTTCACATCGAATATTCAATCCAGAAGCGATCTGCAGTCCGAATTAAAAGCGTTCACTTTTAATAAAATGAAAAGTGGCTTTGTGGAGCTAGAATCTAAGCTCATCCGAAACAACAAAAGCAATTATCGATGGAGTGTCATTTTTGCGGAAAACTTTGACATAAAATGTTTGAATGCAGACTCCGGAAACAACAACAACACCTTGCGAATGCAATGAACAACATGGCCGATACGACGAACATCAACGTGGAAAAGCGAATGTAACTTGATAAAAATGCGGAGACCGCAGAAACAATGTACGCAGAAGGAAGAAGACATAATTGTCATAAGCGATATATGAACCATTTTGAAGTCACCTTTGATTCCGCAGCAGAATGTCCACTGATGAAAGAAAACCTAAAGAAGTAACTCCCTCGACGGCATACTTTTTTACCAATTCTACCGTTAAGTTGTCAGCGTAGAAATTATCCAGTTGATTTTGTAATAAAAATTGACGATGTAAGCGGTCGACAATATTTCCACGAGGGAGTCAAACGGGGAAGTATTTTAAATTGCAATAATTATTTGCCAATCCAAAGGGGGCCCATTGATCCACCATTATGCAATATTTCATCCCGTTTCCTTCGAAGAGGTCGATTGTATTATAATTCCACGTTAGGGCATTTTCATAGAT